GCTGCTCTAAAAGAAATCGTAGAAAAGTGATCCCACTAACAAACTATAGAACTGATATAATTTTAAGTGGTGGGAAAGAAGCGACAATCCAGCCACCAAGACATTTGAGGGTCCAGTAATAATGTTCATATTGAAATGAAACAGGCAGCGATGTGAAACCCACTTTAAGCTTCAGTGAATTCATTGTTTTAAGTGAACACAACTTCTTCATGTCTCTTTATTGATTTGATTGATCATCAAAGCCACCAAYTGCAGAGCTTAGAAGACGCTGGACAGGACTCAAAGAAATTGATCGTAGGAGCGACGAATCGAGTGGAACAACGATAACAAAACGATGCACAAGAATTAGAACAATCTAAAGAAAACATAGAGAGGATTCAAAGAATTGTGAATAATGTGACGGACCCTGCTCGATCCACATTGGAAACAACTCCTGGTGTCATAAACGAGTGCAAGATAATCACCAAGAATACAGAAGGAGAAGTGTGTCCCACAAGAATCRAGTCTATTGATGTTAGAATCAAAGATGTGGAGGGCAACGAGGTGGAAAAGGAAGTGTCAGAAGAGCAAATTGGAAAATACCGTGTGAGTTTTACGCCCCAAAAAGATGGACTTCACGAAATTGAGGTGAAAATTGGAGGAGAAAGGATCGAGAACTCGCCCTAGAATATATATTTATATATACCTGTTGAAGAAAGAGGAAACTTACCGCCATGCGTGGCCCTCTAAGTGAGAGCCAATGGGGTTTTTAGAAAACGAAGTGACTAAACGTCAAGCAGTCCGAAATTTTCCCACATTTCTCTTTGAAATCGGCCAATCTTTCTTTCGAAACTGTTTTCGAAAGTGCTCGGATTTTCTGGTTTTCTGGAATCGCTTGGGGATTTTAAATAGAGGTAAACAGTTATGTTATTAGGAAAATTTTACGCGACTAGAGTTGGTGGCAGATTTCTGGGGATCGTGTGCATCTATACTTTATTAGGTTAATTTTACGCGACTAGAGTTAGTGGCAGATTTCTGGGGATCGTGTGCATCTATACTTTATTAGGTTAATTTTACGCGACTAGAGTTAGTGGCGGATTTCTGAGGATCGTGTGTATTTATGTTAATAGGATAATTTTACGCGACTAGAGTTAGTGGCGGATTGGTTTTGCAAATCCCTCATTATTATCATGAGCAGATTA